AACAATGGAGTGATATCGATGTCTGTCTTATTTTGCCTACTTTTGTCTTTGATCATACTTACAGTCTTCTTATCTTTTCTGTAATCAGACTAGACTCCATACAGTTGCTTCTGGCTGCGTTTTCATACTGACTTCTGGTTATATTTTTCCATGTGCACATCACCTCGTTTGCCTGATGGCTTTGATCAAATCTGCACATTCATTTTTCTCTATTTCCTCTCATTCATGTCACCCATTCTGCATCTTCCTGACCTGGTAGGAAAAGATTGCTCAAGTGCGCTGGGAACTGATGATGAAAACGAAAGAACACACCAAAAAGCTCCACCAGATGAACGATCTATGTATTGAAAAGAAGAAGCTTGATTCTCGGTTGAACACGCTCCAGAACCAGCAGGTATGCTGCTTTCCTTCAGACCCTCTGTTGCATGGGGAAGTTCGGTAGCGGTAGTGTTCGTGGGAATTTCAGTGCTGGCATTTCAGCAAACCTTGATCTTACTAGTAGACTGCTTCTCACCTCAGCCTGGTCCCTGAGAACACCAATGTGACACTGGCCCCATCACAGGGAGCCTGAGGAACTAACTTCATCGTGTGCATCTTGGGGCCATGAACTTACATAAATGCTAATCTATGGGGTTTGCCTTGGCCCTGGAGAGATAAGGCTATTTAGGTATAAATAGTACTAATACACTACCCGAATTTGGTGCCTAACATCCATTTCCAATATCTGCTCCTTCCATTTGACCTAAAGTGGGTGTCTTGACTTGTGGGCTCTCACGTGTTGCCTCACTAAAGCACTTGTTCCTTCTTAGGGCTTTCAAATGGCTCTTTATAATATTTACTGAGCCTAACATTGTGTTCCTTAATATGTGGTGGATACTACTTATTTAATGAAATTCATCCTTCAAGTCTTGCCCTCCAGGAACCCAACACCTATTCTGAATGAACTATAGCTCATGTTCTTGCAATAGGTTTTGCAAAACTGCCTATTGTTTCTCTTGGTTTTCTTTAAGCATCTGGCAGTGGCCTCAGCCAGTAGTGCTTTCCCCTGAGGAAAGCATCAGCATCACCTGGGAGGTTGTTAGAAATAACCCAGATCTACTGAGTCAGAAGCTGGGGGGCTGGGGGAGTCCTGGCATCAAACCACATTAACAAGCCTTCCAGGGGACTCTGATGCATGCTTGAGTTTAAGAGCTCTGGTCTAAGTTCAAGTCCAAAAGGAGGAAAGAATATGGTTTATTCCATGGAGAAAGAATAAGAGGATTTGGAAAGCTTAAAAGCGGACATTAGATTTGAGAGGAAGCTTAGAATCAGAATACCGAGGGCCCTTTATCCACTAAAGAGTTTCTGAGTGGAGAATCAAGGCAGTGTTCGAGAGGGTTGACACCCAAATAAAATCACAGAGTGAGCAGTCAGTAAACATTTGTTGACTTGAAGTGCTTTGACAAGTCCAGATACATTGGGAAGAGTTTGGAGGTAGATCAGTAGGATGGGAAAATAAATCGTATATGTCTTTACAGAGTGTATCTTTACAGTATATCTTGACACGTGCAGTCTCCTTTCAAAGGACATCTCATTTAATCTTCAAAACATTACTTCCTAAGGCTCAGAGAGGGAGTAACTTGCTTCAGCTCTCAGAGCTAATGCACAGGAAGTGAGTTTTTAAAACGAGGTCTGTCTACCTCCAAAGCTGACTCAATTGTTCTGCATTGGGATGTAGATGGTGAGAAGCTAGCTAGTGTCAAAAGAAATTCCCAAGTAAGATTAGTCAAAAACTTTTTGGATATGGTGAGGAGGATGAGGGAAAATTAAGGTGCCTTTAAAATGATGCCTGAAATGACTGGTGAGTCAGTACAAGCATTTAGCTGCCAGTAACCAAAAGCCCCATTGAAAGTAGCTTAAACAAATAAGGCTCATTGTTTTTCACTGAACGAGAAGTCTAGAGATGACTTAAGGGGTTTGATTTAGTGCGTCTGTGATATCAGGGGCCAGCATCTTTGTGATTCTCTCTGATTCTTTGAAGTTCTCCTCAGAGTCACAAAACAGCTGCGTCAGATCCATGTTTCACATCCACATGCCAGCCTCTTCTGTGCCTTCACAAGGAAGCACCAGTTTTCTGCTTATATTCACTCAGCCAACCCTAGCTGGAGGAAAAACTGGGTGATGTTAGTGTTTAGCTTTCACAGCCTCTACAGTGAAGGCAGGCAAGAGAGGAGCTTTTGGGTAATGATAACCCCTATTTGCTAGGAAGGTCTGCCATCGTAAGTGAGGGTAATGGACAAATCATGGGCTTTTGGCTTCAGGTAACCTGGTTGTAACCCTGCTTCCGGTCCTTAATAATATAATCGCTTGGGCCAGTTCATGCATCTCTGTCCCAGTTTCTGTAAAACTAGACCACCACCATCGAATTCACAGTTGTTGGGAGGATTCAATGAAGCACCTGACAGAGAGTGCAGACTAGCTGGGTGGTAATGTCCTGCCCTTTAGCTCATGTTCAAATTTTATTGAGCATCTACTTAGGTAACAAGTTCTAGGGTGAGTGCTGGGTACAGTGGTGAGATCCAGGATCTCACAAGAAATATATCAAACATTTAGGTTGAACCATAATAAATTGCCACTTTCTTTAGGTTAAAAAGTGGTCAAATGTCATACATTTTAAATGGTGCACTCTGATGATTCCAATGACACAGGGTGGTGGCTGTTTTGATAGAACACAGAGCAGGAGACCCTAGTCTAGTCCATGGGGCAAAGAAGGCCTCCCTGAAAGTGAGGTCTGGAGCTTGAGCAGGAGTTGGCTGGACAGGGGCTGACATCAGATAAGGATATTCAGATGATTTTTGGTTGTTGTTAATCCTCACCCGAGGATATTTTTCCATTGATTTTTAGAGAGTGGAAGGCGGGGGGGAGAGAAACATGAATGTGAGAGAGACACATCCATATGAGAGAAACACATTGATTGGTTGCCTCCCACACTTGCCCTGACCAGGGCCAGGAATCGAGCCTGCAACCGAGGTTAAGTGCCCTTGACTAGAATTGAACCCAGGATCCTTCAGTCTGCAGGGCAATGCTCTATCCATTGGGCAAAACTGGCTAGGGAAGGACATAAAGTTGATTTTTCTTTCAGAAAATAAAATGACGATGAGCTGTATAGAAAAAGGAGGCACCTTGTCTTTTATGATTCCAGTGATAAGCCCTCCAAGGTATGAGTGGCGGCTTACCCATCTAAAGGATATTTGCATTTTAAGAGTTGTTTGTTAGTGCAAAGGAACACATTTCTAACGGTGGGATTTCAGTGGACGAATGCAGGCCCCTTAAAGGAAGGAGCATTGGCTGTTTAAATGGATTAAGGCAGGCACTCCCATATAAGAACATATAAGAATATATAAGAACAGACGTTTTCGCATCCAACATGATGCTTCAAGTAAGGAGATGATTTCTTCCAACAGGGCAATGCCTTCCAGGGCCCTCGGAGAGCAGATATTGTGGCAAGAGAGAAGGTCACTCAGCTGATCCAACTCCAGGCGGAAAGGATTTTGGCCTTAAAGCAAGAGATTGCTCTTTTGCGTAAGAAAGGCGGCATTATCCTCCCACCCATTAAGTTCCCACCGGAGAACAGATGAAGCCCCTGTGCCTTTTACTTTTTTTTTTTTTGTCTCAAATCCACCCAAGATTTCTGACATAAATTTCCCCAGAACTTGTCTCCTGCAGCAATCTGTTATTTTGAAGTGAATGTACCTAAAAGTCTAAAACGAGATCCAGCCAGGTAGTGCCAACATCTGTTATTGAGCTGAGCCATTTCACATTTGTTTGGAACCAACTGGATTGAATATGAAGTCTCAGAAGGCTGTGTCTCATACTAAGAAAGCATCTTTCATATGTCCCGTTTTAGGAAATTTGTGTTTGTGTTTGTTTTATCTGAATTTTTAGCCATTGGCAAGAAAAGCTAGCATTGAGAGTGTCAGCTGGTCCCTTTTCTGTTGCTGTTTAAAGCCAGTGGGCTAGAAGGTGAGTTGCAGCCTGGATTTGAGGGCCCCATGGATTAGCTAAATGAAGATTGGGAGCATTGGCCCAGGCCCTCACCCAGGCTGAGTCTGAAGTCACATCTTATTTCTCTTACCTGTTCGACTTCTCCTTGCCTATCATTTGCATGTTGCTCATAGTCCTTCACTTTCTTTCTTAATTTTTTTTTTAAATTCTACTTTTCTGAAAGTCATGTTGCATCTTGATGAGTTTTTCCAATTTAGCTTTGGCTGGAAAAAGGGGGTAACAATCTACCAGCTGGCACGCTACTGCTTTTGGCCAGCAGAGGGAGCACTTGTCCTAGACTGCCATCAGTCCTGGGGCTTTCCCACCATCTTGCTCATCAAAATCAGGACAAGAGTGAGAAGTCAGGGTTCGGCCAGATGCCTCTTAATGAGATTGTGTGTCTCAAGAGGCATTTCATCTGTAACTCAACTCTACTGAGATTGAGAAGAGGCCTTGCAGGCTTCAGCCTCCATCTAGTCTCGGGTATAAGGATCCAGTGGATGGGCAGCAAGCAGTAAGTAAACATGGATTTTAAACAAGCGGTGAGTCAGCTCCCCTGGCAATGTTGGTGTGTCTTTGGAAAGAAGGGAAGTGAATGTATCAGGCACCACATGTGTAGCATAACTCTTAAATACTTGGTCTTCAGCACACACAGACCTCTACCGAAATGATTAGTTTCATTCCTTGACCTGACCAGAGTTTTACCTACAGTCCCGTCAGGAGGAGAACTGACTCTGCTTCTCCTTGCCTCCTGTACACTGTCTCCCTCTTGGACTCAGCAGTTACTAATGCGTCCCACGTTAATAGAAGCACAACCGACATTCCGTATTTACAGACAAAAACGTTAGAGACATCTATCTTTTCCAGATCTCATCTCCTGATCTGAAAACAGCACAAGTGGGTATTTTCTTCAGATACTCAAAGACTGAATCCTAACATCTAAGGAAAACGCTGACTCACGCATGACTAAGCTGAAGTTACAGGGAAGACTAAACATTTATTTAGAAGTTACAGTGTTTGTTTTTACAGAGCGATGTTGCCGCGGATTATTGATTCTGGAAGGTCTGTTAATGCTTATAGTACTATACACATCTGAGTCTGTTCTCACGGGCGTCTTCTGGAGACCTTGCCTGTAGCACCAGAGCTGGCCGTCTTCACAGGTGTCTGCAGCCTGTGCGCCCCTGGCCTCTGCGTTACCCGCGCGCTCCTCACGCACAGTGAGCGGGAGTCTTCCCTCGGGCAGCTGCTCTCTGGGCCTCCGCAGCCTCCCGGGCAGGGGCAGAGGTTCTGAGCCGCCTCCTCAGTCTGGGTGCTGGCCAGTCCATGTTCCTCTTTCCTGGTTTACTCCTGGTATGTGGTGGCTTCTTTGTTTAACCTCTCATACCTCCATGGGTAGGAGTCCCTATGTCTTTCCAGAATTATAACAACACATATACATTTATTTACAAGTGCATAAATATATAAATATGGCTATTATAGAAAAATAAATACCAATTTCCTCTGTCTCTTTAAAAATGATAATAGTCTTTCTGGAATACTGGCTTCTGCCTAAACGATGGGGGGTGGTGTTTCAAAAGATATGTGCACTGGTGGGCTGGGGGAGAGCTGCCTCCCGGGCTCCTGTCCTCCGTGGGTGCCCGTGGGGTGCTGGGGGCACCACTCTCCTCCACCCATTTGGCAAGTGTCAGGACTGTCCACTTCTTCAACCGGTGCCAGGCCCAAGCAGCACGGGGGCCCTGCGGGGACAGAGAATGGAAACATTAACATCCTGACTGTCCAGGAAGCGGCACTGGTCACACTCGTCCAGAAGGAGAGAGAAACCTACAGCCATGACAAGGCGATTTCTGGTCTTGGTCACCCCACACACAGTCCATTCCCCCAGGGGAGCCCATCCAGTGTCAGTGGCGCTGGGCCTGGCTCTAGGAGGTGAATTGCATCTCCCAGAGGCAGGGTTGAGGGTCTGCACGTGGACCTACAGCCACACCACGGAGGCTAAGAAACGTGACCCAAGCCTCTGCAGCATCCGGCACCCACCCAAGAATCCACTGACTTCCAAGGCACTGGCCCAGGGAAGACAGAGGGAGGGGCTAGTGTGCACTGAGCCCCACGGAGAAAAGTTCTGTGGAAGCACAGAGAGTTCCGATGGTTGTGAGAACTTGGCTCCCTAATGATTGATGTAACCTTAGTCCTTAATTAAGAGACAAGACCCAACAAAGCAAGGTATTTGGCGTGATTAGAGAGCGCCTCTTATTATGAGAGGCAGTAGGAATTTGTGAATGGCCTTAATGCAGAGACCAAAAAATGTCTTTCTCTGAAATGGGATGGTGTCCTTTTCCTCAGCCTTTGAGGACGAGGCTTGTGATGGTGGAGAAGGACCCGACCGGTAGGCCCCTGCACATCTGCTAGGCCTTCGGGCAGAAGGGAGGGTGGCCAGCCCCTGTCCTTCCCCCGTCTCCTGATTAAGGCGCGGACAGCTCCCTACCAAGCACCACTTTCAACGACTTCTCCCCAGCGCCCCCCTCCTCCAAGTCACTCCTGGGTTGTGGGTTCCTAGCTCATGCTACCTCCAGCCTCTTTAATTTCCTGCCCTGCCCCTGGCACAAACCTGGGTGAAAAAGAGGGTCCCATGTCGCTTCCAGCCCCGGATTCTGGGGTCCTCGCCTCATCCCGGACTGGCTGGCTGGAGCAGGCTGCTCCTGGAGGGGGTGGCGGTCCTGGTGGGTCTGCAGCCGCTGGTGCGTTGAGGCACCAGGCAGTGTGTACAGGAAAGAGGCCTCGTCTGGGTTGGCCTTGGCTCCCCTGGGTGCACGAGACCAAATGGGAGTGAGGTGTGGGCAGGGTGGGCCCACGTCCCCACCGCCCGGCTGCTTCCCTGTGGAGAACACCAGAGGGGAAAGGGCCCAGACGGGCAGGGACGGCTCCCTTATGAACATCGAGAGGTGCCACACCATTTCCACAGGTAATTCTGGCCTCTCTCCATTGTATTCCATGCAAGTCCTAAGTGTATTAGAAAATGTGGAGTCAGGGGCGTCTGGGCAAAGCCAGCAGTGCCTGGCTCCGCAGCCTGCCAGGTGGGGGGCAGATTCTGAGCGGCTGACCCGTGCTCCAGAGCAGAAAGGGCTTCGTAACTGCAAACACTACCCCTCGTGGGGGGAGACCAGTGGAGCAGGCTGTCAGATGCGGGGACCCTCTAGTCTAGAACAGTGATGGCGAACCTATGACACACGTGTCAGAAGTGAAATGCGAACTCATTTTTTTGGTTGATTTTTCTTTGTTAAAATGGCATTTAAATATATAAAATAAATATCAAAAATATAAGTCTTTGTTTTACTATGGTTGCAAATATCAAAAAATTTCTATATGTGACACGGCACCAGAGTTAAGTTAGGGTTTTTCAAAATGCTGACACGCCGAGCTCAAAAGGTTCACCATCACTGGTCTAGAAGAAATGAGTAGGTTGAGGAATTTTGCGAAGCTGGCCCCGCCTCTCAGTGGCTGGTGCTGAACCTGAGGGCCTAAAGGGAGAGAGCTCTGGGACTGGAGACAGACAGCAGGGGTGGGAGGGCCTGTTACCTGGGAGGCGGGGCACTGTGGGCGTCATGTCCATCGCCAGGAGCGGTCTGCCTCCGGAGGTGGTTGGTGTCATCCTGCTGCTCAAAGGGAAGAGGAATGGCAAGGTCATGTCGGCATCCAGGACACATTCCCGTGCATCCTCTAGCAGGATGAGCTGTTCCTGAGGAAGGAAGCCTGGCCCGCAGTCCAGGCCTGGAGGCCAGCAGGGAGGCAGCCTCAGGAGGCGCCCAGCTTCCCCTCCAGGGCGGCCACACCTGCTCGCCCGCACCCAGGATGCGTTACCTGAGGCCGTGCCCCGGGACAGTGCTGCGGCGGCTTCACGCCTGGGTGGCCCATGGCAGGCGCAGGGCAGCCCCTGTTCACATGCCCCCCATTTGTCACAGGCCCGTCCATTGCTGCCGCTGAGGTAGGGCTGCCCGTGGGCTCGGTGGCCGGGAAGTCCTCCCAGCGGCACCATAGTGTACTGGCAGGAGGAGGACAGCAAGGTACTTCGAGGAAAACCCAGGTCTGTTGTATGTTCTGGAAAGAAGAAGGACAGAGATCCGCTGAGGCCACATGAACCTCAGAAAACTCCTGACCACAGGGTCAGATCAGGGAGGCAGGGAGCTGGCACCGCCCTAGAGATGAGAATATTCTCCCTCGAAACTTCTTCACGCTACTCATTTCTCCCTAACAGCGACTTCCTTTGCAGGGGCGATGAGGGTGAGGAGATACAGGGGCAAGTGTTCAGGAGGAGGAGGAGGTGAGCGAACACAAGGAGCAATAGTTATAGGGGAGGCAAGATGGACCAGGTGTGCTGTAGGAAGGGGGGAGTGCAGGGCAGCCCTGGACCCAGAGCAGAGGCAGGAAATGTTTGGCAGGGAGAGGTGGGTAAGTGTGAGCACAGTCAGAGCAGCAGCTTCAGGTGTGAAAAGGAGTTGGAGCCAGATGAGTCCTGAGCTCCTGAGATGCAGAAGGGCCAACTCCCCCTCTTCACACTCTCCTCCACCTGCCAGGTCCGAGAGCTGAGAGGAGGGACTTAGCCCTGGGTGTTCTGTGACTCTCCCTAAGCCCTCTGGGGACCCAGGAGCTGGCGCCCCAGTGAATGGGAAGCAGGCACCTCTGATCCTGCCCTGGGGAGAGGCCTCCTTGGAGGGCGGGGGGGCTCCCTCCCTCCCTAGGCTCCTCCCCTGGTGTGGGGGAGGGCCGCTCACTCACTCTGCTTGGACCAGGCCCTCCACAAGCAGAAGGGGATGAAGGCGACGATGATGAGGACGATGGAGCCCAGGACGACCCCCACAATCAGGTAGGGCAGGTCGCTGGAGCGTGCCACCATGGCCCCCGTGCCCACCGGCCGCTCCATGGTTTCAGGGGGTGGCGGCTGAGGTGGAGCCAGAGTTGGGGGTGGAAGCCCGCCAGGCTGACCAGACTTCCGAGCTGTAATTGTGAACAAAACTCCCATCAGCATCGATTTCTCTGACATTTCGTTCACAACAAACAACAAACATCCCGATTCCACGGGTGTGGGAAATGGGGCCTCGAAACCCTTTATCGGGTGAGCGTGGTGTCCCAGCTCAGCAGGACCTTGGCATCTACCATGAAACTTGGGATTACTGAGAACTGGGCCTTGTATTTCAAAACACAATCAGAGGGTTGTGAGCCAAGCCTGGAGCCAGGCTGGGTGCTCTGGGCAGCAGGGTGTGGGGATTTCCTGAAAGAGGAGCTGGGGAACTTCAGGAAGAAAGTATAACAAATGCATGAAACCAGCAGAACCGGGAAAGGAAGCATTCACCAGCGGACTTGCTCTTCCCGGCAGGTTAAGGGGTGCGGAGGACTAGGCATGAGCCCGAGCCGCCGAGCAGGAGGATAGGTGTGTTGGGTGGGACTCTCTGGGGCAGACAGTATCTGGGAAACGCTGGTCCCAAGGTAACAAGGTAGGATGGTGAACTCCTCAGGGTTTGCTATCAAGGTGCATCTGACATCGTTAACCCTCTTCTCAGCCGTCCCCTGGCCTTTCTGATACTGCAGCCTTCTGCTATACCCCGGCCTCTGACTGCTGCTGCTCCTCTCTCTCCTCCTGCTCTCTCCTTTCCAGCTTCTCCTCAGACACTGGGAGGTCTTCCTGGTCCCTGTCGGTCAGCACTCTCTGTGCACCCTCATCTGTTCCCCTGATTTCAACCTAATGACACTTCCTCAGAAAACAGACCCAAACCCATCCCTTCTCTTTACCTGTACTCCGCACCCTGCTCTCTCCCCTCAGCCCGTTCCTGCATAGTCAACAGTGACCCCTCAGCAAACAAATCCAACAATGGCCCTCCTACAGCCCACAGGGCCGTCTCCCCTCCTTCCAGGACCATGTACTTTAACCGCCTGGAGGTCCTTGCAGGTTTGTCCAGTCCCCTAGGCCCCTCCCTCCTCAGTCCCCCTGAAGATGCAATCCTTTCCAAAGGCCAGCGTGTAACCCGTGTGAGGGCTCTGCTTTTTGCCCTGGGCACTCTGATACAGGACCTCTGGTCCTGGGTGGATCTGCCCCTCACCGCACTGTACACGATGGAAGAGGGCAGGCAGTGCACACAGCAGGTGCTCTGTATTTGCTGGCCAAGTGATGGGAAGCAGGGCATAGCTGGAGAGAGATGTTGCCAATGAAGGAAAATGGGTTTTCTCGTCTCTATTCCTTGGTGATCTCCTGAGTTTGTTCTTTGCAATACACCTGCTTTATACACTTCCAGTGTTTGCAAAAAGGAGACAGTATCTATCCACTTGACCAATGTGAAAATAAATTATTCTGTGAATATGTTTAACATGTTTTAATGCAGAGAAAGAGACTGGGCTTGTAATTGGACAAACTTGGCCCAAAGGGTGCTCTACCACTAACTGGCCGCTTGACCTTGGTCAAGGTATATCATTTCCTTTTCTGTCTCATGGGGTTGGAGTTAATTAAGTAAATAAACCAGTGTTAGCATCAAATGTTATCATAGGAATAAAGTGCTTATAGAACCCAACCTAAGGACGGGTTCCACTCCATGAGCCCATGTAGGAGTGATTTCCCAAGTTCTTTGTAGCCGTCACGTAGCAAGCCATCTGTACTTAATATGAGGCGCAAGCAAATGAAAGGTTAAGAATGACAGAGTTTAGGGGTACCTGGAAAACAAGTCTTCCTGGGGAAGAGACACCCAGCAAAGCACACAGAACAGAGACAGACACAGAACCCACAGACCTCACCTTTGGTTTCACAGATCATCACGTTGCTGAACTCACTCTCGCCGCCCTCATTGAAGCACTGCATCTTAATGTCATAGGAGGTCTCCGGCTGCAGGTGGTTGATGGAGTGCCAATATCTATCCCCTGGAAGAGAGACTCAGTCACACATGGGGACGCGGATCTGGTTCGCCTGGTCTCCACGGGCAGTCAGACTCAGGGCTGGGTGCTGGGGCGGCTGCCATGAACGGCCCCATCGCCTGTTGTCCCATCACCATGGGAAGGAACCGTGCAGGTTTATGAACTCGATGACCCCAAGTGAGTCATGAAAGAGACGACGATATGGGGCACAGATGCCGTGCGTCACAGCAGCCCAGGCTTCACACCTTCACCAACACCGAGACCCCCCGTGCCAACAGAGGAAACCAAATCTCACGAAAGCGTTTCTCACCTTCCACCATGTCCTTCTTGTAGTCACTGTCGTTGTCACTGTCCGTGGGCCGGTAATAGATGTAGAAGCCGTGGATGGGGGTGTTGTTGTTACTTGCTGGGATATACTTAGGGAAAGGAGAAGAAACACGTTGACAGTGGAACAGAGAGATCACCAGGTGCGGCCATGGGGGATGGGAATTTCCCCCGGCCTAGAGTTCAAAATTCACTGGGGGACCCTGGCAGACATTTCTGATGACATCCCCAGAGCTCTCTGGAGAACGCTGTACTCAGCCCAGAGGTCCCCCAGCCTTTGGAGACAAGAAACAAACGGACATTTGCCCAGAGTTAAGTCCCTCTGAGCCTGCCTGGGTGGGGATGATGATGGATGGACAGACACACTTAAGGGAGGTCGCTTAGGGGAAAGGCTGGGGAAGACAAGTGGTTCCCTCTCGCCCAACACGAGCTCTGCCCGTCTCCCCATGCAGTCTATGCAAGGCCACGTACCATCCACTTGAGCATGATGGTGGTCTCGTTGACGGCGTCGGTGAAGGTGATGTACGGGCCCGCCACGGGCCGCTCATAGAGGCGGCCGCTATAGCCCGACACCACGTACGGCTGGGAGGGGGCGCTGGGCTCGCTCTCCCCCAGCATGTTCAGAGCCCGGACGCGGAACTTGTAGGAGGTGCCTGGTGAGAGAGACACTCACTGATCCCAGGAGCTGGGAAACACCTTCCGACTTGCTCACAGCTCATTCAGGGCCTGGACCTGGGCGGGGGGTGTCTTCTGGGCAGACCTTCCCCAAAAGCAAACCCCAAAGGACTCAGGAGACTTCCCACCCTCATCAGAAAGGGAGAGAGAGGGCTTGTGGAACTGAGGCACCACAGAGCGCCCATGGGAGCCTAGAGGTGGGTGGAGGATGAGCAGTGAGAACCCCCACAGCTCCTGTTCTCCTCTTGGTGGCCAGGGGGCAGTGCAAGGGAGGGGTGGGGAGTGGGGACGGGACAGGAGGTCAGTGGCCAGGCCCCTACCTTTCTCTAGGCCTGTGATCTCCACTGAGAGCCTGGACGGAGGGATGGCCGCTGGGTGGCTAGCATCCAGTCCCCCCACTTT